AATGATTATCTAATTTAAGGTTGGTATGAGTCATTATTAATTCATTTTTGAGATAATGTGTTTTCTCATTGTACTTTTTATTCTGTTGAGCGCGGTATATGGGTGGGATTTTTTTTGGTTTATGATTGTTATGTTGAGTGTTTGTGTTGGCAGCGAGTTGTTTGTTTAAGGTTGTTTATATATGCATTGTGCATTTATTGAGTGAGCGATGGTGGATAGTGGGCGTTTTGTCGTATGTGTGGATTTATTGTGGTGTCTTGTAGGCATACATGCGGGTATATAATGGTGTGATTTAGTGTTGTATTTTGGTTTTGGTGTCACAATATTAATGCTTTGTTGTTATATTACGTTAAGTCGCTGTTAGCTTTTTTTTTTTTTGCTCATTTTTGTACAAATTGTTAAACTGTAATGTCTGATTGTGATAATGTATTTATTTTTTTGTCTTGATTTTTTTTTGTATTTGGATTTGAAGTGCTGAGTGGTTGAATACGTTAATGTTTTTTGTCTTTTGTTATCTTTTCTTACAATTTATTTGTGTTAGTGGTTCTAGTTTTATGGTATATGTGATACATTTTATGATGGCATGCTCTAGGAGAGGTTTTCTTATCACCAGCATCTCGTCATGTCCTTACTCTTTTTGCAGAGAGACTTGTTCCCGATAGACACAAGCAGAATAGTTCCGAGATTCACCACTAGACCACGGTGGATGTGCCTGCCCAGTGTTCGAGGCAATGGCGAGCGTGTTGTAAAATTGGAAATGATTCTCTTTGGAGTGGTACTGGCGTAATATATGTATGGACTTCTAGAGTGGGTTTTGACTAGGTGGTGCTAGCTGCTGTGGACGTCTACTTTTCAGGTTCTTAATGGAGAAGTGCAACCTGTTCAAGACAGCGAGTTCACTCTGTGAGGGATATCGATGGTAGTTCGTGTCTAGATGTTCGTTCTTTATCGAGCCCAGCTATATATATTGAAATTTCTATTTAGATAGTAGAGGTGCATGATGTCTTTAGTTTATATAGAGGTAGTAATTGAGTGTTCCTTAGGAAGCACTATTTTGCAGCTATAAGATTCTGTCGCTCAATCTTCTCCTGGGTAGTTTGGGCTAACTTTTTGTATTGCTTTCTTTATAGAGAAAAAGTCACACAGGACATTCCTAGATTTCAACCACAAGGTCATTTGAGTAGATTGTCACTCCAGAAAGATAGAACGAGCAAAGTTCATGGTACAAATAAGAGTTATCCATCCATTTGGGATCTCCAGCTGGTCATCCCTAAAATGCACCAGAATGCAGGAAATCACATCTACAAAATTCCAAAATTTTTTGGGGAGACCCCGAACCCAACATAAACAGCCCCACGCTTACCAGTATTTTCACCAGCCGCCACTGATGTGGTGTATGTGTATTGTGTAGTACTGTGTACTGGTGTGTAGTACTGTGATTGTATTGTGTAGTAACTTTGTGTTAGTACTATGTACTGTGTGTACAATGTGTATTTGTGGTAGTAAACTGTGTACTGTGTGTAGTAACTGTGTGTATTGTGTAGTAACTGTGTGTACTGGGTGTATTGTGTAGTACTGTGTGTACTGTGTGTAGTACTGTGTGTAGTACTGTGTACTGTGTGTAGTACTGTGTACTGTGTGTACTGTGTGTAGTACTGTGTGTACTGTGTAGTACTGTGTGTACTGTACCAGGTCTCATGGCGTATCGGTCCAGACTCTTCCTGCGGTTCACTCGGTGGTTGTACATATCGTAGTCTACATCGTTCCTGTAAGCTCGATCCTCCTGCATCTGCTGCACATCACAAATTATTATTAATACATAAATACATCATCAATATATTATCAATACATTAATACATTATCACATAATATTAATACATTCATTTATTATCAATACATTATCAATTCATTATCAATGCACTATCAATACAGTAATACATTCAAGATTGTACATTAGGTGTTTTGTACTTTAGGTGCTGTGTATATTAGGTGCTGTGTACTTTAGGTGCTATGTACATTAGGTGCTGTGTATATTAGGTGCTGTGTATATTAGGTGCTGTGTACTTTAGGTGCTGTGTATATTAGGTGCTGTGTTCTTTAGGTGCTGTGTATATTAGGTGCTATGTACTTTAGGTACCTGTACAGACGGTCGTCGTGAATGAGGGAAATATTCCTCGGGGTCGAAGTCCAGAGGATGAACCGACAGCAGACGTTTACTCTTCCTCATCTTAAGGAAAAGAAGAAATGACGAGTTTTAAATCTGCAGGTTTAATGCCCAGTTACCAGTTTGTATTTCCACGTTACCACTTTGTAGCGCTGAGCGTCGGCCTCTCCGTGGTCGTCCTCGGCCCCGTTGTATGCATCTACGAAGACAGGTCGGGATTAAAACACACTTTCAGAAGGTTTTAAGTTTGGACAGTTCAAACCCTCCAGATAAATATAGAGATTAATTATTGTCTCTAAAGTTTGAAAGAAAAAAACAACAAATTCAATATATCTTTTGCTGTTAAACAGAGATAAAGCCTATTTTTGTGACTTTAGTTCCCTTCACTTTTTTCATTTTAATGTAACGTAATGTCTGTGTGTGCCACCGTATACGTTGATCTAGAAGACTTTCAGCAGAGACTCACGGCTGCGGACGTCCGGCATACTCTGGGTGTCGTCATCGCGGCCACCTGAAGACGAAACAGGAAGTAACGTAGCTAAATATTAAAAATCTCTTAGCTATGTAGCTGAATATCTCTACGCACACTGCTAAACAGCGACAGCGTTTATTATTGTTACTGGTTCACAGAGCAGTGGTCGGACCCGTCCACGCAGGTGATGGCAGACTCACCGTCTCCGTTCAGCCTCTTGTACAGTGATCTCATCACTTTGGCGCTGCCGAAGCGCTTGAAGCGGTTTCTCACGTTGTCGTGGTACCAACCGACAGTACCGATCTTCACCACTCTGCAGATACACACAACAGACACCGTGACCTAAACAGGTGGAGCACTGAAACCTCCGAGCTAACAATGTTAAGCTTTACACTTTACAACGGACAAACCAAACTCTGTTAACGTCAGCTGTTTCCTGCCATTCCCTGTGTTGGGGCATGGCATCGCTGTCTCTCCTCTGGGCCTGATTCTCAACCTGCACACCTGAAGTCACTCCGCTAGTCAACCCTGGTTCTTCACCTGCTTTCAGTCGATCTATCATCCCTCACCTCCCTCTGTCAGTGCCCTCTGGATCTGGATCTCTGGATCCACCACAGCCATTACACCAAACAGTAACAAACTGGCTTCATTCCCAGGTCATTAGATACAGTTAGGTACAATCTGAAACTTCACCACTAGATGGCACTAAATCCTACACACTGGAGCTTTAACTGGGTCATGGAAGTTTTGTGCTTGTAGTTACTGTCACATGTCTCTAATATATCTTCTAGTTGATATTAACGAGGTGTCAATGACGAGGTAAAATGTTTCCAAACCTGTTTCTACTTTAATGAATAACCAATGTCAGCTTGTTGCAGATTTCTTTATCTTAAGTTTCTGTTTGCAGAAGACTTTTCCTCTGATGTCTGCAGCTTCTCTGCCTCATTCATTTGAGCAATTAGCTAACCGCTAACTGCTGCAAATGGACTGGGACCTGTTTGGTGCATTGGGCTGGACGGACTCACTGAGAATGAGCTGT